AGAACACGTGTGGGTGCCCGAGCCTGAGGGGGTGGACACGGGCCCTCGCACACGCTCCTGAGTCGTGCCCACGCTCGGGGCACGCTGGCTCTCGCGCGGTGGGAGTGGGGAGCGCGCCGGGGCGGCCCGTGGCCCGGGCCCCGGAGCAGCTGCGTTTGTAGGTGGGGTGGAGGGCCCCCCAGGCCGTGGGCTGTTTCTCTGCCCCAAACCTCCCTTCCTCATCCGTTCATAGCTTCCATGGTGGAGAGGGCGCCCGCCCCCACGGTTACAGAGAGACAGAGTGCTCCTGGGCACACGGGCGCCAGGGTGTGAGGGCGCAGCGCGGCGGGAGGGTGCCCCCACCCACGCACTCTCTCTGCAGACTCGTTGGCCTGCTTGAAGAACTGCGTGGGGCTCACCCTCGGGCCTGTGCGGCCGTCGGCGGAGCAGTTCCACAAGTACCTTCCCTGGTTCCTCAGCGACCCCCCCAACATCAAGTGTCCCAAAGGGTAGGTCGTGCGAGGTGTCTGCAGGGTGTGGAGTGGGGGTGCAGGGAGGTGGGGGGCTGGTGGAGGGTGTCTTGGGGAGCCTTGACCTCAACCAAGCCTTCACTCTGCCCACCCCAGGGGCTTGGCAGCATACAGCACTTCCGTGAAGTTGGACCAAGATGGCCAGGTTGTGGGTAAGCACGGCCTCGGGTGGTGGGGAGGGAGTCAGCGGCTCCGGGGCCGGGAGCCTCAGGGACCCCCTCCATACGCATCCCTCTCCTCCTCTCCCTCCTCCTCCTCCAATGGGGCTTCTAGCCTCCCCTGGAGGTCCTCACTCAGATCCTCCACCTCACACTTCCCCTCCTGCCTCCCCACCCCAACCCTCAGACAGCACTGGGTCCACGGGAGGCCTTGTGGCTGCATCTGTCAGGCAGGGCCGGTCCACTCCCAACCGCAGGCCCTGCGCCCAGTTTATTCCAAATCCCAATACGGAGGCAGCAGAGCCCTGACCCAGCCCCCCCCCCCCCCCCCCCGGCCCCTGAGGGCTCCGGGAGTCGGCTCTGAGCTCTGCCTCTTGCCCCCGGGCCGGCACCAGCCTCGCGCTTCATGGCCTACCACAAGCCCCTGAAGAACTCGCAGGACTTCACGGAGGCCCTGCGGGCGGCTCGGGCACTGGCCGCCAACATCACCGCCGGCCTGCGGAAGGTGCCGGGCACCGACCCGGCCTTCGAGGTCTTCCCCTACACGTGAGGCCTGGGCCGGAGGGGGGGCAGCGGGGCGGGACCTGGGGAAGTCACCCTGCCCAGCTTCGCTTCCTCCCAGTGGGGGGCGGGCGGGCGCCGCGTGACCGCGCTGCTCCCCCAGGATCACCAACGTGTTCTACGAGCAGTACCTGACGGTGGTGCCCGAGGGGCTCTTCATGCTCAGCCTCTGCCTGCTGCCCACCTTTGCCGTCTGCTGCCTGCTGCTGGGCATGGACCTCCGCTCCGGCCTCATCAACCTCTTCTCCATCATCATGATCCTGGTGGACACCGTGGGCTTCATGGCCCTGTGGGGCATCAGCTACAACGCCGTGTCCCTCATCAACCTGGTCACGGTAACCGCAGGCTCGGGGCCCCCCGGGGCGTGCCGCCGGCCTGGCGGAGACCCGCCCCGGCCCTCTGGAGCTGACGCCCCTCTCTGCCCACAGGCGGTGGGCATCTCTGTGGAGTTCGTGTCCCACATCACCCGCTCCTTCGCGGTCAGCACCAAACCTACCCGGCTGGAGCGGGCCAAGGAGGCCACCATCTCCATGGGCAGCGCGGTGAGTGGGCGGGCGGCCGTGGGGACCGTCGCCGGCTGCCGCTGCTGCGTGCCCAGCCTGACACGCGTGTGCGACCCTAGGTGTTTGCCGGTGTGGCCATGACCAACCTGCCGGGCATCCTCATCCTGGGCCTGGCGAAGGCCCAGCTCATCCAGATCTTCTTCTTCCGTCTCAACCTGCTCATCACCCTGCTGGGCCTGCTGCACGGCCTGGTCTTCCTGCCCGTCATCCTGAGCTACTTGGGTGCGTGGTCCCTCCCGCAGGCCCGCCCCGCCCTGGGAGGAGCCCCTGGCAGTGGGGAGCACCTGCGGGGAGGCGTGTGACCATGCCTCTGTCTGTCCCTCTGCAGGGCCTGACATCAACATGGCTCTGGTGTTGGAGCAGAAGCGGGCGGAGGAGGCGGCCGCGGCCAGGAAGGCCTCCTGTTCTAAGCACTCCATCCCGGTGAGCCAGGCCAACGGCACCTACGTCAACCACAGCTTCCAGCATCCTGCTGAGAGCGGGGACGGCCTCGGCAGCTCTCCCACCTCAGTGAGCAGAGATCTGAGCAGGCTCTAGGGGCTGTGAGGGTTCCCATGGGGACCATGATCTGTCTCCCAGGCCCTGGCGGAGTGCTGTGCCTGTGGGGTGCTCACACTGGGACTCCCTCTGACCGCCAGGTGCCCAGGCACACTCCACCCGGGCAGCAGGCCCCTGGTTCCAAGCCATTCAAGCCTTGGTCAGCCTCCTTCTTCCCGGGACCTGGATCTTGGGTTCAGACACAGAAAGGCTGGCTTGGTTCCAGACTCAGACTCGCCCACAGCTAACCCTTTCCACTCACCTCTCCTTCAGTGAAACAAAGCCCCGCTTGGTTTGGAGAGTCTCCAGCTCTGCTCAGTATCCCTGAGAACCAAGCCCCACCCTGCAGGCAGACAGGGAGGGGTGGGGAGGTCGCTGCCCCTCATCTGGGAGAGAGTCCTGGAGAAGACGCTGGTCATGGGTGGGCCCACTGGAAATGCCGTCAGTTTGGCCTCCAGCTGCACTGATTACTAAGGTGGCCGCTGCCAGTCAAAGCTGCTGTGTGTCTTCAAGGCTGTGAGCTCCCGGGACAGGCTTGGAGTGCTGGCGCACTAAGATGGCCAAATCTCAGCCTCCCTGGAGAAGCACAAGCCCAGGAATGCACCTGCTCAGTGCCATGCACAGGAGGAAAAATGTGTCACTGAGCATAAATGGAGTTTTATGTCTCATGTCCTATTCTGGTTGCCTCTGGCGTGAGGATAATTTTTGTAGCCCAGCCGGGGTCAACACACGAACCAGGAGGTGGTGGTTTCCAGCTCCATCCCCAGGAGGGGGTGTGCGGGAGGCAGCTGATCGATGATTCTTTCTCATCACTGTTGTCGCTGTTCCTCACTCCCTCTCCTGTCCTCTCTAAAATCAATAAAAATGTTAAAAGGGCCGAGACCGGTTTGGCTCTGTGGATAGAGCATCAGCCTGCGGACTGAAAGGTCCCAGGTTTGATTCTGGTCAAGGGCATGTACCTTGGTTGTGGGCACATCCCCAGTGGGGGGTGTGCAAGAGGCAGCTGATCAATGTTTCTCTCTCATCAATGTTTTTAACTCTCTATCCCTCTCCCTTCCTCTCTGTAAAACATCAATAAAATGTATTTAAAAAATATATTAAAAGGAAGATAACTTTTGTAATGGACCCGGCACATGTGTGGGAGGGTGACTTAGGGAGGTTTCAGTTTGTGTTTTCCCTTCCCCTTTCTAGAAGGTGGCCATGTCACTGTGTGCCCTTCAGGAGCGGCGAGCAGCTTCTCCCAAACCAGGAGCCATGGAGGCCCTGGCCTTGTGGTGCTGGCCAGTGGGGGGACCCACAGCGGCTCGCTTCCTGCGACAGCTGTGAGGGAGGCAGTACTCAGCCTGCTGGGGAAGCCAGTGCATTGGGGGCGGGAGGCACCCCCTGCTGGTGGCAACCAGAATGTTTATTATTTATTATTATTATTATTTACTACTCCTCACCCTAGGGCAGCCTGGTGTGCCGTAGGTGCAGACAAGACAAGAATTTTATAATTTTTCACTATTTTGTTTACTTAATATTTCATAATAAAGTAATTATAAAATACTTTCTTTGTGTTTATTTGATTCCTATTCAAGAGAATTACTTTATATATAGTCAATATAGGCACAGAGTTAAATTTTTTAACATTTTCTAATGGTGGTGTGCCTCGTGATTTTTTTCATGAAACAAGTGTGCCTTTGCCCAAAAAAGGTTGAAAAACACTGCCCTAGGGTATGTATCCATTGATTTGAGAGAGAGAGAGAGAGAGAGAGAGAGAGAGAGAGAGAGAGAGAGGTGTCAGTCAGTTGCCTCTCAGCTGAGCCTTGGTCAGGGATCAAATCTGAAACCTGGGTATGTTCCTTGACCAGGAATCAAATCCTGACCTCCTGGTTCATAGGTTGATACTCAACCACTGAGCGACATTGGCAAGGCCAGACTTTGATTTTGATGACCTGACAATTTGGAGGATTGGTCAGGTGTGTTGTAGATTCCCTTTAAATGGGGTTTACCTGGTGTTTCTCTCCCGATGAGACCGGGGTGATGGGTTTGGGGGAGGGAAACTGCGAAAGTGGGGTGACAGTCTCAGCACACCACATCAGGGCAGGTGCTGCTGCCATGGCTGATCACTGTGGTGATGGTGGTCACCTGGCTGAGGTGCACTAACCACACTTAGGGATGGGAGGCACATCCCAGCTCCTGCATCCTGAAGGCACTGTGTGTACACGTATCAGTATGGACCACACACATTCAGGTTGCACTTCGGTTACAGAATAATGCTGCCTTACTTGTTTTGTTAATTGGCTGGTCATATGGTTCCTGTTGTGGCCATTGGAAGCCCACAGGTGTCCCTCACGGACACCACACAGAAAAGGTCCAGGCCCTGAGCTTCACCCAGCCAACCTCTTCCCACACCCGCCCTGGCAAACGCGGCGCCGGATGACTGGTCCCACAGCCTGCCTCTTCCGGAAGGCGGTGCTGCGCCGCAGCTTTCCCACCGGCTCCGCTTAGCAATAGGCATCGAAGGGCAAAGCTAGCTTCACCCCGCTGACTGACAGCATTTCAATAGAGGACAGACCGCAGTTTGTTTACCCCGCAGCTCTGGGGAGGGGAGACCACGTGACGACGCCGGATCACGTGATAACGCCGGGCGCGTGACGCCGCCGCGCACTCTCTTCCGCCCGTTTCCAAGGTGGCCACTAGGCGCCCTCAGCCGCGGAGCCCCCGCCTTCGGGCGTCTAGGAGCCACTTGGGGGCCCACGTCCCCTCTTCAGGAGGCCGCCCGGGTGGGCCGGCGGCGCGGCGCGGCGGGGCGGGGCCTGCGGCGAGGCCGAGCGAGCGCGGACCGAAGTTTCGCGGGCCCGCGGGCGGCGGAGCCGTTACCGCGACGCACCGGAAGTAGCCGAGGCCGGCGTCCGGCGTCCGGCCCGCCGTGAGCGAGTTCCCTCCGGTCGGCGACGCCATGGAGCCCGGGGCGGCCGAGCTGTACGACCAGGCCCTGCTGGGCATCCTGCAGCATGTGGGCAACGTCCAGGATTTCCTGCGCGTGCTCTTCGGCTTCCTCTACCGCAAGACGGACTTCTACCGCCTGCTGCGCCACCCGACCGACCGGATGGGCTTCCCGCCCGGGGCCGCGCAGGCGCTGGTGCTGCAGGTGACCGGGGGACCGGGCGACCCGGGGTGGGGGGGGGCGGCCGCGGGAGCACCCTCCCCGGAGCCCCAGACCCTCCCTGCGCGCCCAGCCTCAGTTTCTCCCTCCGGCGCTGGCCTGGGTCCACCTCCCGGCCCGGGGCTGCGAGTAAGCAGAGCCGCTGGTCCGTATCGAGTTGCTCTTCGCGGGAGCGGGCCCGGCGCGGGTAACACCGGGCGCGCTTGGGGGTCAGAGGAGCCCAGCGCCCGCCGCGCTGGGCCCGCGGGGGCGCCGGGGCTGCCGGTCGGGGGTGGGAGCGCGGACCTGCGCGCCCAGGGCCGCGGGCTGGAGGCAGCGGGGGGACTGGTGAGCTGTGGCTTCTGTGGGTGTGGTCCCTTGTTTGAAATGCGGCTTCCCAGGTCTGAAGCAGCGCGCTTGAGCATCTCCCGTGTGTCCCAGGCTACATGCATTGTGTGTTTGAGATCTGTTAACACTCACCGGCCGAAGTTGGCTGTGCTCCTTGGAATGTAACAAGTAGTCGCACTCAGCTGCCAGCGACGTTGGCGAGGCACTGCGGGGTGGGTATTTAATGAGGGTGTTCGTGTCGGCTTCCTTGTGACGCTTGTGACATTTGAGAAGGTGAAACACATCAGAGCAGAGATCTGTGCGAGGCGGCGGCCGAGCTGTATGACCAGGCCCTGGGAGGAGGGGGTAGGCTTGGACATCAGAAGTTTCACAGGGAGGGGGGACTTCGCTCAGCCAAGTCCGGAGCCTGCTTGTAGGAACCCAAGAAGCTGGAAACGCTGGTGGGGCCTCCCAGGTCCTCTGGCACGCGCACCTGTCCTCTCCTTGACAGCTGTGCCTGCGGAGGAGTGAGCTACTGCCGGAGATGACGGTGTCTGGCACAGGCTCATCCAGAACTTGAGGCTGTGCCTCGCTCTCTCAGCGTCTTGAGTGCCGCTGGGTGAGGGCGTCTGGCAGTTTGAACTCCATGGACGTTCCTGGGAAATGGACATGGTTGGTTTTTTTGTTTTTAAAAAAATATATTTTACTGATTTTTTACAGAGAGGAAAAGAGAGGGATAGAGAACCAGCAACATCGATGAGAGAGAATAATAGATCAGCTGCCTCTTGCACACCCCCTACTGGGGATGTCCCCGCAACCAAGGTACATGCCCTTGACCGGAATCGAACCCGGGACCCTTCAGTCCACTGAGCCACACAGGTTTCGGCCGACATGGTTGAGTTTTATGTGGCAGGTGAGGGTGCCAGTTCAGCAAGGTTATAGAATTCCACACACTCATCCTTTTTGTGATTCCAGCTCTTTCCTTTTCACCCATCCCACAGCAGGGTGGGCACCCTGTTATCCAGGGTGGAGGTAGCGTGCAGGGAGGAGAAAGGAGCAGCTGCTGAGCGCTGGTATGTGCTGATTATTATGGGAGGAGCCTCACACTGTAGGTGCCACCTGACTTAATTCTAACGCAGCCTGAAAGGCCGGCCTTAGCCTTTGTTCTGCTGGTGGACAGACAGGTAGCTCACGTGTCTGGTGTCAGTGTATAAAGAACCTACTGTGCTCCATGCACCCTTCCAGGGCAGAGGGAGGGGGCAGGTGAATCAGATGACCTGAGGTTTCAGACGTGGGCACCTGGTGTAATGACAGCGCATTAACTGTTCTGCCATTTGAACTTAGGTGAAAGGGCCAGTGTGAGACCAGTCGGATGTGAGATGCAGACAGGAGCCCCTGCCTGTATGCAGGCTGATGGGGCTGAGGGATTGGATCTTGCAGGAGACAGGAGCTGGGCAGTTTGAAGGAGAGAAGAGCTGAAGGTGGAGGGCAGCCCTGGGGCATGGGCATGGGCAGGGGAGGGAGGGGAGAAGCAGAGGCTGTGGAGCGGGAGGAGTGGGGGTGGACGGGGGAGTCTCACCAGCACCAAGGGCAGTTCCCAGCAGGTGGCTGGAGGGCTGGTGTTTTCTGGAAGTGCTTCCTCCTGTCAGCACTGCCAGGAGCCTTCACTGCCAGCACTCTCTTCCCTCTCCCCGCCACTGTTTTCTGGGCAGATCGAAGATTCCTTTACCCACAGAGGCGTTGGTCGAGGTCAGCATGGGGCACGGCGTGGAGGGGCTGGGTCAGCGCAGATTCCGGGATAGGACGGTTGGGGGCGGAGGGGGGTGTGCTGCTGGCATAGGAACACAGTCACCGGCATCGTGATGCCTCCACTGGGATGTGGGGACGGGTTCACCCAGAGCTGTGGTGGTCACTGCGCTGTATGGGCCGAGTCACTGACGTCCTCTTGTCTGTCACGCGCTTTATAACCCGTAAAAGGTGCTGCAGTGTCACCTGCCGTGGGTCAGGTGGCTCTTGACCTCCCGTCTGCGGTGATGCAGAAGGCCCTCCTGTGGGTGCTGCCCTGCTGGGGGGGTGCAGGGGGTCTTCAGCTTCTCAGACTTCCCCCGAATTCCGAGGACCTGCAAGCCTGGTGCACGGCCCGAAGGACCCGCCCTGGGAGAGGCAGGCTCCTCTCCACCTAGCTCCTGGTCCTTAGCCGTTGTCCACCGCGAGCGTTTACGCAGGCAGCGGACCTTCCCCGCGCCATGCGCATCTATAAAAGAAGGTTTTCCCTAAGTGGCAGCCCTGACCAACTTTAACATCATTTTTCGTGGGAATTTTCAGCTGAAAAATTCAAGAACACATGAACTTAAGAGAATTTTTAGGTTCACGGCATAGTTGAGCAGACGTCCTACGTAACCCCCTGCGCCCATGTGCCCAGCTTCCCATTGCCATCGCCCTGGAGTCGCAGCATCTGTCATCGTCGATAAACCTGCACACACGGCACCATCACCATAGCCGCAGTGCGCCTCAGGCTCACTCGGGGCGGGACAGATGCCATGACACATAACCCCCCCCCCCCCCCACGGCCATCACTCAGAGTCGTAAACTGCCCTGAAAATCCCTGCGCCCCCTGCTCCTCCTCCTGAGCCGCTGGCCGCCATGGGACTGTCCTGTCGGGCTTTGCCGTGTCCAGAGGTGACGGGTGAAACCGTACCGGACGTATGTAGCCTTTCAGACTGTCCTCTCACTGTCTTCCTGGCGCGATGGTTTCCTTGCCGTGCTGAGTAGTCATCGTCCATGTGTGCCCGCCACCTACTGAAGGGTGTTGCGAGTTGCGACACGCATGAATGAAGTTGCCGTGTGCACATTTCTGTGTGGGCATGAGGGTTCAGCTCCTCTGGGTAAATACTGGGAGCATGGCTGCTGGCGTGGGGAGGCTGCCCCACTTTCCAGGGTGGGTGTCCCTCCTTCCTGCCCCAGGGGGGAGGAGCTGAGTGGAGGCCCCGCCCCCGGGCAGGTGGTGCCAGTGGAAGGGGTGCCTTTGGTTGAGGTCTGATTCAGGCCCCTCGTCCCCGGAAAAGTCTTCCGGGTTCTCTCAGCAGAAGGGGGTTCGTGTCAGCCTGACGCCCGCGTGTGCAGCCAGCCTGTCCTGCCCGTGGTCGGTGTGGTCTGCTGGCTGCAGAGGAGACGGCTGGCTCGCCACGTGCCAAGTTCCGGAGCTGTCAGTGGGGCTGCTTGCCGTGGCAGGCAGGGCACGGGGTTTGTTGAGTGAATTTCCACGCTTTCCCTAGCCTGTGCAGGGAGCCCCGCTGTTCTGGGGAGCGAAGGCCAGCTGGACCCCCTTCGCCCTGCAGTGGGGTTGGTGCCCACACCCGGCGAGGCCCCTGGGCAGCATGTTGTCTGTGCTGCCGGCAGTGGGTGTGAGTGAGGGCGGGCGGGCCCAGAGCTGGGTGGGCTGCTGTGGGTCTTGCTTGTCGGCTGCACGTCTGCGGACATGGAGGTGCTCACAGCTGCTCGGTGCAGTCCAGTGCGGTGTGTCCCCCGTGGGAGCTGCCTCTCGCCCTGGACGTTGCCACGGCGCCGCCGCTCATTGCTGGGTCACGTCTGCTCCCAGGTGTTCCAGACCTTCGACCGCATGGCTCGCCAGGACGATGAAAAGAGGAGGAAGGAGCTGGAGGAGAAGCTGAGGAGGAAGGAGGCGGAGGCTGCGGAGGTGGAAGCTGCGGCTTCGGGGGAGCAGGCGCCTGTGCCTGCCCTGGAGCTGGAGGTGGAGGTCAACACCGCGGACGCGGACGCGGACGCGGACACGGCCCGGGCCTCGGGCGGGCCTGCGGAGCCGCAAGGCCAGCTGCATGACGTGCAGGCGGTGGCCCCCGGCTCCCGGGAGGCTGCGGAGCTGCCGGCCTCAGAAGCGGGTGCTGCTCAGACCCCAAGGGAGCCCCCACCTCTTCCCAGGTAAGACCTCTTTTCTCGCTGGACACGGTGGGGTGGGGTTGGGGCGGGGTTGGGGTGGGGGTGTGTGTGTGTGTGTGTGTGTGTGTGTGTGTGTGGGTGTGGTTCTTTTGGGCGACAGTGCCTGGCCAGCACTTACTCAGCTCCTCGTGTTTACAGGCCGAGGGACAGTATTTGCTTCCACAGGGAACAGTGGCTGCTGCCTTCCTCCTTGGTCCCTGGTAGGGTCAGGCCGTGTGCGTGTCACTCAGCGTGAAGGCCAGGGTCTGTGGGCTCCAGCAGTCCCTCCCAGTGGCAGCAGTCCTTCCTGCGGGACATGGCGGTGTGTGCGCCAGGGTGCTGGGCCTCACGCACCTGAAGGGGCTGTCGATTCAGGGGGCCGTGCAGCAGAGTGCCCTGGTGTGTCCGTGGGTGGAGGCAGTGTCCTCGCTGTTCCTCGGGGTTGAGTCTGGTTTGTGCCTGGCCACACACGTCTGCCCTGCTAGGCTGCCTCCTGTGCTCCCGTGCATGTCTGGAAGCCCGCCCCTGCCCTGTGCCAACCGGGGAGCCCCGTCCTCTCCGCTCTCCTGCTCCCGCGCCCCCTCGGCTGTCTGAGCACAGCTCCTGGTGGGGGCAGCACGCGGAGGTCAGGGCGGCGACACTGCGACGCTGACGGTGGAGGGGAGCACCCCAGGGAGGCTCAGCCAGCAGGTGGTGGCCGGCGAGGCGGGGGTGCAGGAGGGGGCTGCTGCACCTGGTGCTCCTGGGACTCCGTAGAGAAAGGGCTGGGCCTGGAGGGGCCCTCGGCTGATGTGTGTCCCGGGCAGGGGCTGGGAGGGGCCTCCCCCTGCGGGGGTCCCACAGCCCTGGTGGGGTCCTCACGGCTGGGGGTACTCTCGCCGCATGTTAAACGGAGCCTTTTTAAAAGACAAACGTGCCCAGCCCTGGCGCTGGTCTCAGCGGGCCGGGCGGCGTCCTGGCACAGAGAGGTTGCCGGTGGTTCCCGTCAGGACTCACAGTCTGTCCTCTCCGTGCTCGCTGGGTCTCTGAGGGGGGAGTCTGTCTCCGTGCTCGCTGAGTCTCTGAGGGGGAGTCTGTCTCCGTGCTCGCTGGGTCTCTGAGGGGGGGTCTGTCTCTGTGCTCGCTGGGTCTCTGAGGGGGGGTCTGTCTCCGTGCTCGCTGGGTCTCTGAGGGGGGGTCTGTCTCCGTGCTCGCTGGGTCTCTGAGGGGGAGTCTGTCTCCGTGCTCGCTGGGTCTCTGAGGGGGGGTCTGTCTCTGTGCTCACTGGGTCTCTGAGGGGGGGGGGTCTGTCTCTGTGCTCGCTGGGTCTCTGAGGGGAGAGTCTGTCTCTGTGCTCGCTGGGTCTTTGAGGGGGAGTCTGTCTCTGTGCTCGCTGGGTCTCTGAGGGGGAGTGTCTCTGTGCTCGCTGGGTCTCTGAGGGGGAGTCTGTCTCCGTGCTTACTGGGTCTCTGAGCGGAGAGTCTGTCTCTGTGCTCGCTGGGTCTCTGAGGGGGAGAGTGCCCCCTGAAGGCGGTTCCCTTCCTCATCGCTGCAGTCTGAGCTCCGGGTGTGGGTGGAGGGGGGATCCCCTGTGTTTATGCTGCGGGGATTTCTGAGCCCTGAACCCAGGCTTTCTCGTTGTCTCTTCTCCGAGGTCCTGTCCTCAGACTTCCTTCCCCTGCTGTGGGTCCGGCCTCAGCTCACCCACACGCGTCCACAGCAGGAGGCACGCTTTCTGCCATCCCCTCGGATTCTCTTTTAGGGTTTGACTTCTCTTGTGGCTTTGCTCTAAATTGTTAAACGTGTCTGCAGCCGCGTGGAAAGTCTCATCGTCTCTGTCATTGGCTGTTTCTGTGGACGGAGTGGGCTCCTGATTTGGGCCGTCTTCCTTTGTTCACACACCTGGTAGTTTTGTGTTGGATGCTGGGCGTGTGAACGCCGGGTTGCTCTGGGTCCCTTCAAGGCCTGTGGAGGGTTGCTCCTGCCGGCAGGGCATAGCCCCTGGGAGCTCGCTGGCATCGGGAGTTCTCACTGTCCTGGGCTGGTCCTCCCTCTGCTGAGACGTGGCCGCGAGGGCTCTCCCAGCCTCCAGGTGGGCAGCCGCCTGCCCTCCGGCTGGTGGACCGTGGCCGTGTCCTGCCCTCGCAGGCCCCGGGATCTTTGCTGGCTCCCCAGGGCTCCCCTGTTCCAGGAGCCTGTCCCTGAATTGGTTAGACAGGACAGGGTAGATGGGACATGCAGTTCCTTCTGTCCCGTCTCGTCTGTTCCAGCATCACTGCATCAGCCAGACCGGAGAGTGCTGGACGCTGAGCACACCGCAGGCGTCTCCTCGGAGTGCTGGCTGGGTGGGGATGGCCGTTACGTCCTCAGCGAGCGCCATCGGGGGCCCAGGGTGGTGGTGTGGCCTCGGTGAGGGAGACTGTCCGGGTGGTCAGCCCTGGACAGCTGGGAGGGTCGCCTGGGACAGCAGCTCAGCCTGTCTCTGGCCTCCATGGTGGCCTCTTGGTTGGACTGGCCTTGCCGCCGCACAGGCACAAAGCCCGTTTCTTACGGTAAATCTCTTAATGTATCTCTTCTGGTTCTGGTCCTTTGTCGAACCCTGACTTACCCATATTCTCATGGTAGAATGTCATGAGAAAAGCAGGCTTCAAACTAATAACAAGTTTGGGAAACATTTATTATTGAACGGAGAGAAGGCCTGGAAGAAAACAAGAATAGCGGTGGAACTGAGTGTTTTCATTGTCATCTTTGTCCCTTATGTTTTCTAATTTTTTTGCAATGAGCATACACTTTATTTTACTGTTTTTGGTACTATTTTTGTAACTTCTAAAAACGAAAAGGGGGTTTGGCTTTGATTCTGAGTACGTGCGAGCGCTCCTGGCTGTGGTGGTATTGTAGGCCACTGTCTGTTCCCGGCCAGCGGCTGTCCTGGCAGCCTGCACTGTTTGTGAGGCCCAGCTGGCCGGGAGGAAAACCTCAGCCGGGCACGGCCAGCACCCTGGCAGGGAGGGCCTCAGCCCTCAGGAGCTCTCTGGTTTCCATGGACAAAGCAGGAAGTGGTGGCCATGTCTCGGAGTCCCACCCGAGTGCCGCCTGAGCTGCAGCTGCGGCGGGTCCGAGAGTGGGCATGGAGGCAGCCTGCCCTGCCCTCCCAGGTGGCCCCAGGCGCCCGTCAGTGCCCGGTCTGCACCCTGTGAGCTGTGGGTCGGGCTCTGTCACTGGGAGACTAAGGCAGTTACTCTTCCGATGACCACACACAATCTCTGTCCATTAGCACCCTGTCCAGAAGCCAGTACCCGGGACCAGGGCTGAGACGCTGGCTTCCACGGTTCCTGTTGGCCGCCCACTGCTGGAGGCTCTCCAGTGCTGGCCGTGGGCAGCAGCCACTCCTTTTGTCCTCCTGTCTGTCACGTGCTTGTTGAATTTAAACAATTCAGCAGAGGCCCTGCGGGGAAATGAAGTAAGATGATAGAGCGTGTGCATCTGTATTTTACACACTTTTTTTTTTTTAAATGTTTTATTGATTTTTTACAGAGAGGAGGAGAGAGGGATAGAGAGCTAGAAATGTCGATGTGAGAGAAACATCGACCAGCTGCCTCTTGCACACCCTCTACCGGGGATGTGCCCGCAACCAATGTACATGCCCTTGATCGGAATCGAACCTGGGACCTTTCAGTCCGCAGACCGATGCTCTACCACTGAGCCAAACCAGTTTCGGCACACACATTCTTATTATAACCATGTTCACGTGTACACTTTACACTAGAGTTCACTGTTGGAATGTTCGTGCGACACGTGTGGGCCCATAAGGGCCATCGACCGGGCACTCGGCCCACCCAGCTCTGGCCTCTCCGCCCGGCCCCTCCGGGCCGCTGACCGACCGCAGGTCTCTCTACACGGAAACCCCCGTGAGGCGTGTGGGTGGCCCAGGAGATGTTGGAGGGGTTTTAATTGGAGCTACACTCACCCCTGCCCAGGGCTTCCTTGGAGGGGAGTCTGGGCACACGTGTTCTGGACCTGAGGAAGTGCTGGGCTCCGCCTGGCTCCCAGCTCCACGTTGTCCAGCTGAGGACACTGTGCCGGGGTGCTCAGGGTCCGGTGGGCCTGCCCTGAGCCGGGCCTGCGCTCAGAGGACCGGGTGCTGTGCCCAGGGCCGGGAGGGACAGCAAGCGCCTCTCAGAGCTGCCAGCGCAGGCTGCCGGGGCTGGTCCGGGCTGCCACTGTCCTGCCGTCCCCTGCTCGGCCGGCAGGTGTCGCTGCCGCTGGTGCTGGGATGAGATGGGAATCCAGACAGGCTGGGCCACCTCTGGCTTTGCCTTGATGGATCAGAAACAGAATTCTCCAGAAAAGAAGAAGGAAAGTAGATTCCTGCCTGGGAGCTGGGCTGTGTGGCGGCTCCAGGTGCCCTGGGGGTGCGCAGTGTGCCCACGCTCCTCCCGGTGCGGGCACTGCCCTCGGCTGCAGGCGGCCGGCCCAGCTCTCAGCAAGCCCCCGGCTCTCATCCGGCTGTGCCTGCGGGAAGCCGTGCCCCTGGGCACGTGTCTCCTCGCCATCTGTTCTCCGCCGGGGAGGTGGTGCTGGGCCATGTGCACACTGCCTTTTACGATTGGTTTAGGAGTTTAAGGTTTTAACGTCATTATCGCTTTCAGAGAGGAAGGGAGAGGGAGAGAGAAATGTCACTGATGAGACAGAATCACTGGTCTGCTGGGCTGCCTCCTGCTCGTCCCCTCCTGGGGATCCAGCCTGTGGCCTGGGCATGTGCCCTGATCAGGAATCAGACTGACTCCTGGTTCATAGGTTGATGCTCAACCACTGAGCCACACCTGCCAGGCGGCATTTTTGTTTTTATTTTGCATTTCCCTATAGCATATAGCTGTTAGCTTCATCCTAGCAGGGGCTAGCTTGGTGGGTGTCTGACACTACCGATGTCACGGAGCTGCTGGAGACTGAAGCTGTGCTGCAAGGTGAGCGGCTGCCCGAGCCCAGGGCGGCTCGGGAGCCCATGGGAGGACGGCAGTGAGGCTCAGCGGCAGTACTCCCCCTGGGAAGTGTGTGTCCAGGTGTGAGAGCCCGAACCGCCTGCTTCTTGCAGATGGAGAAGCTTGTGGCGTCACCATGTGGGGTTGGACCAGCGCTGTGGGCGAGTGGCAGGTCCTGGGCGCGGGCGTGGGCGGGACGCGGGCGCGCCCTGTGTGCGGAGAGAGCAGCTCTCAGCGCAGAGCCTGCTCGGACTCGACAGCCAGCGCCCTGTGTGCTTTCCTGTACCACCGAGGCCGTCCAGCCAGCTCGCTGTCTCCGTGGGAAACGACATGCACCCACTGAGGATGTTTTCATGGCAACTGATCACGGACGGGAGAGACTGAAGGACGCACCCGCCCGCACACCCACCGCCAGCCCATCCCTGCTCGGTGTCAGTGTCCGGTTTTCTGTATCGTCCCAATCTAAATAGCAGTGATGACGTTTGTGTAAATCTGCAAATAAGACCCCTGCTGCCCATCGCTTTTCTGTTGTCACTACACTGCTACAATAGGTGCCAAACAGCCTACGTTCCTAGAGAATCTAAGGAACCGCCTGAGACACGGCTGGGAACCCTCTCTCCTCTTTCATTCCCTCAAAATCAGTTTGTTTAGAAAAGCAAGTGCTGCCCCAGAGTCCTGCAGTCTGTGCTTTGCTGCCTGTGGTGGGGTGAGCTGGCTGGGGATGTAGGGTAAATGTTTTTGAAAGTTGCAAGTGTGCCCTGGCCAGTGTGCTCAGTGGTTAGAGTGTCAGCCCACGCACCGAGGACTTGTGGGTTCGATTCCCGGTCGGGCACATACCTGGGTTGCAGGTCTGATCCCCGGCCCCAGCCATAATGCTTGTGAAAGGCAATCAATTGATGTCTCTGCCACTTGCATGTTTCTCTTCCTCTCCTTCTCCCCCTCTCCTCCTCCCTCTCTCCCACTCTTTAAAAATCAATAACAGCCGAAACTGGTTTGGCTCAATGGATAGAGCGTCGGCTTGGGGACTGAAGGGACCCGGGTTCGATTCCGGTCAAGGGCATTTACCTTGGTTGCGGGCATGTCCCCAGTAGGGGGCGTGCAAGAGGCAGCTGATCGATGACTCTCTCTCATCGATGTTTCTAGCTCTCTGTCTCTCTCCCTTCCGCTCTGTACAAAATCAATAAAAAATATATAATAAATAAATAAATAAAAATCAATAAGAAAATAGCCTTGGGTGAGGATGAACAACCATAAAAGAGGAAAGCTCACAGAATGTGTGATGAAAGGGAGTTCTCCCTAACGGCCACTGGGGGCCATGTTCACGTCCAGAAATTTTCTTTGGGAAAACGTGGAATTCACGCTTCGAATCAGGGATCGACACGCCTGCTGGAGCCGTTCTTTCTAAGGCAGGTGTGCCTTCCTTCCCTCTGTGTGGCCCTGTGGGATTGTGCCTTCATTCCGTCCACGTGCTGTGGGCTTGTTCGGGGTCCTGTCTACCAGTGATCCATCTGGGTTTCCAGCCGTGGATTCTCTGAGATGCAGGCTGCTGGTGTCTGTTGTGGCGTGTTGGTGACAACGAGTTCAGAAGTGAACTGTGCGTGTTCACACCCAGAACCTGAACCACAGCCACGGCCCTCGGTCCAGCGGCCGCAGCTCGGTGTGGGCTGCAGGCGTCAGGGGTGGGGCCACGTGCTGAGCCCCACGCAGTGGTGCCCAGAGTCCCCGTCTGTTTCTTGTGGTCTTTAAAACACGTTCTACTCTCAGACAGTCAGTGCACAAAACCGCTGCAGAACTCATACGACGACTTCCCACGCCTCAGGCCCTGCTGCAGCCGCTCGGGGGCCTCCACCCAGCGTGGCCTCATCTCTCTCTGCATGGGCCACCCCGTCCTCAGTGGGACTTCTCTTTGCAGGCCGTCCCTGGCCAGGGTGGTTTTCTTGGTGTTTCCTGTGGCTGACAAGTTACTGTTTCTCCTTTGCAGCAACTAAGTGTCCAGTGGGGAGAGACTTAGGAAACATTCCGTTTCTCCTCGGGGTGCCTACTGCTGGGGGGCCCAGGGGCTGCTGGGATGCTGTTCCTGCCCTCTGGGCTGGGATTGCCGTGAGGAAGGCTTGCTCACGCCTCCTCCATGCCGAACAGGCTCTATCTTTGGGGTCCCCGGCTCCCCGCCTCCCCGCCTCCCCAGTCCCCTCGCCATGCCATCTCCTGCAGAGCTGGCCTTGCTCCTGGCCGCACTCCTGACAGGTGCCTCCGTTCTGCCGGCGCCTCCTTTCAGGCTAGGCACACCCGTCCCTGGTCGGCTGGGGACGGTCAGCAGCTGGGTCAGTGCCCGTTGTTTGTGGCCAGGACAGAGGTGGCCCAGGCTCACAGTCTGCCCTGGCCTCCCACCCCTTCTCTCCCTGGGCCCCGCCTCCCAGAACCCTCCTCGCCTGCTCTTCCCATCTCTGTGTTCTCCCGGACACTGAGCTTTTACTCACCAAGAACCCGAAGCAGGACTGGACTTCACGAATCTGGCATTTTGGTATCTGATGCCAGTGTCAGCAGCACAGGCAGGGGTTCGAGCCACCCCACTGTGGCCTGTGTCCCCCAGTGTCGGCCTCCCCCAAACCCCGTGGCACCTGCTGGTAGGACAGCAGAGTGTCGCTCACCACAGAGGGACAGCGTCACCCACAGCTCACAGCCTCCCGGGGACCTGAGGCTGGGCTTGTGAGTTGGAAGTTGGGAGTAAGGTGGGGGTGTCGAGTAGCAGTGGGGTCCTGACAGGACTGGGTGGGCTGTCGGGATTGGTAGAAACTCAGGGCTGTGACTTTGAGGTTCACTGGGAGGCCAGGTGTAAACTGGGTGAGTCACTCTGTGGGCTCACCAGGTGCCCCTCGGGGCAGTTGCTGGCTGGGGGGTGGGGAGGGATGAGAGCCAGGCTGTGGCTGGACATCGGTCTGCGCTGCTGAGTGAGTGTTGGTGCTGCAACTCGATATGACGGCCCATAGCTGTGTCCAGGCTCTGCTCCCGCCGGCCGCCCCCGGAGGTGGGAGTGTGGCTCTCGGTCGGCACTGCTCACTGGAAGCTCCTGGTGATTGGAGCAGCTTCCTCCTCTTGGACGACTAGTAGAACACGGTTAAAAGACTAAGAATTGCGCATCCCTCAGTGGCTGTATTTACGGAACAGATGACCCACTTTTGGTTCAGTGCGTACGTCTCGCGCTCACATCTGTGAGAGGCGGAGCGCCTTTCCGTTCGGATAACTGACGTGATGGAAGGAGGAGCCCGTTCTCCTCGGTGTGGGAGCGCATGGCCGACACCGGCGGGAGCAGAGCCTGGACACAGCTATGGGCCGTCATCGGCGGCACATCATCCCAGCCACCTGCCTCCTCGATTTCTCGTACAGAAGCCGTCATTGAGTGTTTCTTGTTTTTTGTTTTTGTTAATCCCCACCAGCGGATATTTTTCCATTGACTTTTAGAGAGAGTGGAAGGGAGGGAGAGAGAGAAAGAACCATCAACGTGAGAGACACATCAATTGCTTGCCTCCCACACATGTCCTTGACCGGAATTGAACCAGTGACCCTTCAGTCCGCAGGCAGACGCTCTAACCAGTGAGCAACGGACCAGGGCAGGACTGGGGACATTTGATTGCAGTGATGTCTTACATCTTTTTTTCCCTATTTTTTAAAAAAAAATTTTGTGGATTTCAGAGAGGGAGAAAGAGGAACGTCATTGATGAGAGAGAATCATTAATGGGCAGCCGCCTGCATACCCCCAGCTGGGGATCGAGTGCAAAGCCTGGGCATGTGCTCTGACGGGAATAAACCCGACCTCCTGGGTCAGAGGTCGACGCTCACCCCTGAGCCACGCCGGCCGGCATGAACGTGGATGTGTTGACCTCGGGGAGTGACACGCCTGTGGGTCCTGTGGACACCGCTCCGGGACACTTCTCGCACTGTCCACGTGGGCCAGCAGCAGCTGTGAGGGGCCCTCCTCGTCCGAATGCGGCTCTTGCTCTGGGGTCAGGACGGCTCCGCTGCCGGCCGGCCGGGTCCTGTGGTGAGGACCTCGCCTGGGCGGCTGTGGCGGGCCGAGTCCTGATGCCGGGCGTAGGGAAGATGACTGATGTGGATTTAAAAAGAAACGCGTGGTAAAGCGAGCATTCCCAGGAGGCTCGAGCACGCGTGTTGGGGTGTGAGGGGCCGTGGCCGGGCTGGCGCCTGACTTGTGGTTCTTTCCAGGAGACAGGAGCAGTTCCAGAGAAACCCCGACAGCTACAACGGAGCCGTGCGGGACAACTACACCTGGTCCCAGGACTACACCGACCTGGAGCTCAAGGTGCCGGTGCCCAGGCACGTGGTCAAGGGCCGGCAGGTAGCCAGCCGCCCCCCGGCCCCTCCCCCCGCCCAGGTGCCCAGCCCGGTGTGCCTCGCCCCCGCCCCCGCCCTCCGTGCTCGTGGACGCCCTCGGGCTTCGCTTTAAGCTGCTCGCTCGTGTCCGTGGCTCAGTCTCCACAGGAGACAGGCTGGAGAGTGCGGCCGGGACGAGCAGCCGCTCTGGAGGGACGGGCGGCGGCTGTTTGCCGGCCGGTGCTGCTCAGGCCCATCCCCGCCGCCCTGGCCGTGTGGGCGCAGGAGGGCGCGGCGCTGCTCGGCTCGGTGCGGCCGGCCTGGTGGGGGCTCCGGCACTGAGGCAGTGAGGCGTCTGTGACACCCGGACTCAGTGTACCCCCCTTGGTCTCCGCCACTCGGACTCCCCCCCGCGGTGCTCTCCGCGGCATCCTCATTACGCTGTGACCTCCTTTCAGCAGTTCCTCTCCGTTTCTCCGTGACCCACCGGGCGTGGGCGCTGAGCGGCAAGCCTGCTGCCGCTGTTTGCTGACCTCAGGGCTTCTCGGCCGCCGCGCTCCCTGGGCTCCGCGGCGACCGTCAGCACGTGCATTTCTGTCTGCCCGCACCGCCCAGGGCCGTCCTGATGGCGGCGTGACTGCGGCAGCACGGGGGTGGGGGTGCAGCCCGGGTGCAGGGGGCCGAGTGTGGGGTCCTGGCCCTTCTCCAGCAGCTGCGGAGCACAGGCGGGAAGCTCCTCTGCCCGCGGTGTCTGGCAGGGCCTGCCCGAGGGCGGAGGCGGGCCGGGCATTGTCCTGGTTCCCAGGCATCTCTTCCCTGTCCTCCGGGTGAGTCTGAAGGAAACTTCTAGGCGAAGCTCGGGGCTCAGGCCTCGGAGACGTGGGCAGGTCTTTGCTTCGTCCACTCTGCCTGCCTTCCTCAGGGTAGCCATGGCGACCGTGACGTCAGCCGGCTGGTTACCAACCTGGCGTTTTGTGAGTGGTAGGGTGTGATGCTGGAAAACTGGCCTCCAGAGCATTTAGCGTAAAGTCTCATTGCAGGTGAGAAAGCTCCCTGAGGCGCAGGCCAGGCCACGCGCCCCATCAGCCTGGGCCATGCTGACGGCAGCGGGTCCCTCTCCTAGCGCGCTCCTCCTCCCGAGGGGGGTCCTGCTGACCGGGGAGGCCCTGCGGCCCAGGGCTCACGCCGTGCTGCCGCCTCCATGCCTGGGAACCTTCCGGAATAGCGCCCGGCCTCTGGGCATGCCCTGCCTGGAGCGGCTCAGCCCCCACTCGAAATGCTGCTGGAGTTTGTGCCAAAAGCTCGTAGTTCATAGCAATTGAACTCCCGGTCGAACTCCCGAGGGGACACTTTACACGTTTCCCTTTTCTGTAGAGAGGATGGCAGTCAGTGACCGTGGTCTTCCTGTGAGGAGACATTTGAGATCTCTCTCAGCCCCAGAGCAGAGCTGCCAGTGTGCGGGCGTCACGGCCAGGGCTGCTGTGCTGGCCCCGCAGCTCCTCCTCGGTCTCAGCTTTCATCCTCTCCCTCCAGGCTGAGGGAAGGGGCGTCATGGGAACCCTGGTTCGGTGATGGGCAGTGTCTGAGGCGGGTGTGGGATGGGGCAGATCTGGCTCTGCCCTAGAGGGGGGCTCGCTCCTGTCCTCTCACCCGGCCCCCGCGTCCGGACGTGGCGGTCAGCTGGGCGTGGGCTTTCAGGGCCTTTTACAAGTCAGTGTCGGGAAGTTTCCCCTCGGCCCCTGGGCCTCCCGCCTGCAGCCGCCATGGGCGCCCGGCCTGGAGGCACGCTTCCTTCAGCTCTGGGAATGTCCAGTGGCGGCCACAGCGTCCGCATGTGGGCTCCGCCTGGCCTCGGCCTTCCCGTCTGACCCGATCTCCAGTGTCTGCCAAGGCTGTTCAGCTGCTGATTCCGCTGAGTCTCTGCCCAGCTGTTTGTACATTCATTCTGGTTCCTTAGATACACGTCTCCCCAGATCTCACTGCGGCGTCGCCAGGAAGCGTGTCTGCTTCGGCTCTGTGCCCGCCCGCCTCCATGCTGCCCGTTTCCTCCCTCCCTGGGCGCCCTGGTTGAAAGTGTGTTTGTTCCCCACCGAGGTGCAGGCCGGTGACAGCTGGCGCTGAGGCGGGCGAGGGGGGCTCACACCAGGCCCTCCGCCGGCTGCCGGGCTTTGAGCTGAGCTCCCGTGCAGGCAGGACAGCGCGGCCGGCCGCGCGTGCTGGCCGCAGTGCTGGCCCGGCCGGGCCCACGCGGGGGAGGGGGTGCTGTGGGGAGGCCTGGGGAGCTGGCTGGCCTGAGGCTGTGCAGAGCCCGCGAGTGAGTTCTTCCTCCCGGAGGCTGGGCCCCCCCGGCCCCCGCCCCCGGCCCCGCCTGCGTGTGGATGCCTTTGTGCCCAGGTCTCCCGCCTCCCCGGTGTTCACGCCCCGTGGGGGACGGTTGGTGCCTGAGCGTCGTGTTTCAGGCCTCTCAGCCGCTCGGCAGTGACCAGGGAGCTGTCGGGGCGCCAGGTCACCTCCGTGTCCTGCAAGCACCCTCGTTGTAAAGCACAGGTCTTAGGGTTTAAAGAGGAAGTGAAACGGCAGAAGGTCCCGTCTTTCCTCTTCGGTCCTGACCCGGAGTCTGGGCCTGGGCCGGGCCTGGCGTGTGGGGTCCTAAGGGCCGCAGCTCGGCTTGTGGAGCGGTTCCAGGGACAGGCCAGAGCCCAGCACCGGGCTCAGGCAGCAGCGGCTGCGGAGGGATAGCCACGGTCAGTCTGTCCTGGTCCGGTCAGGTCGGCCCTGCCGCCGAGGCTTGTGGAGGGAAAGCAGCCTTCCCCACCCCCTCCCCTCCCCCTCCCCACCCCCTCCCCCTCCCCCTCCCCTTCTTCCTCCCCCTCCCCCTCTCCCTCCCCCTCTCTGGCTCTTCTGGAGGTGACTCCTCACCACCTGCCTCTCAGGACACCTGCTGACCCCAGGGTGCCAGCGCCTTGTTTTGCCCCCTCCCCTCCCCTCCCCTCCCGCCCGCTGTCCCACTCCCCTCCCCTCCCCTCCCCTCCCCTCCCGCCCGCTGTCCCACTCCCCTCCCCTCCCCTCCCCTCCCCTCCCCTCCCGCCCGCTGTCCCACTCCCCTCCCACAGCTCGCTCTGCCCCTCAGGTCTCGGTGGCGCTCAGCAGCAGCTCCATCCGCGTGGCGGTGCTGGAGGAGAGCGGGGAGCGTGTGCTCATGGAGGGGAAGTTCACGCACAAGGTCAACACGGAGAGCTCCCTGTGGAGCCTGGAGCCCGGGAAGTGCGTGCTGGTGAGTGCTGCCTCCTGCGGGCGGGAGGCCCGGGCCCTGTGACGACGGCCTGCGGGGACCCACGGGGTGACCAGCCCGGCTGGGGGGGGTGGGGAGGGCCCGCGGTCCCAGTCTGGCCTGTGGCCGGTTTGGGGCGTCACGGGCCTCCAGGGCCACCGCTCCTCGTCCGGTTGCTTGGCCCGGGGACTAGGGGAGGCCCACCGTCCCGCCCCGGCTGTGGGACGTGGGGAGCGTGTGTGCAGGGGAGGAGGCGCCATGGGAGGTCCCTGGCTGTCCTTGACGTGTGTCCTGGGAGAGGAGGGGACTGGAGACAGCAGGGGGACCCAGACCTCCAGGCTGAGGGAAGGGGCGTCGTGGGAACCCTGGGACGGGTGGGGCCTCCCCGGGGGCCTGCCCCCAGCCGCCAGCCGCCCTCCCGAGCCCGGGCCCTGGCAGCCCTGCAGGCGGGGGCGGCAGCTAATCCCGGAGCCAGTTCTCGCCTGCCTCCCGCCCACACAGTGTGAGCGCGGCTTCGAGATTCTGGCTCCCGCTCCTCCTTGGTTACGAGCCCCCCCGGCCCCCTCCCGCAGGGCGCCGGCCGCACTGCCCACGGAGCTGCCGAGGGAGCCGCCGTGCTCGCTGCCCGTCCGGGCGTCCCTGGGGCTGGGGCCCAGGACGGGTTCGCGCAGGCGCACCCTCCCCCGTGTCACAGCGCTCGGACGGGGCGGCAGGCTGGCTAGTCCTTGGCTTCTGGTTGCAGGTCCCCTCGCCCCAGGTGCCACCCTGTCCCCCCAAACACTGGGCCTTCGCTGACTCCCCCACATTCCCCGTCCCTGTTGGCTTTCTGTGAGGACGAGGCTCCCGGCCGAGCAGGGCCCAATGGTTTGAGCGACAGCCACGCCTGAAGGCTCGCCAATCACTTCTGCTCGGGACGTGCAGGAGACAGCCAGCCAGTGTCTCCCACGTCCATGCTCCTCTTGCCACCTCCCTCCACTCGCTCTGAAATTCAAGGGAAAGCCGTGGCCCGTGTGGCTCAGTAGATAGTGTTGGCCTGTGAACTGAAGGGTCCTGGGTTCAATCCCCAATAGGGAGGGTGCAGGAGGCAGCCCATCAATGATTCTCTGTCATCACTGATGTTTCTGTTTCTCTCTGTCTTTCTGTGAGATCAGTAAAAATATATTTTAAAAAGTAATAAAATTCCATGGGAAAACGTCCTGGGGTGAGGATTAAAAAATAGCAAATACAAGTTGGTGAGGCCGAGGCTGTGGTGGAAGCGCCTGGTGGGTGGGGTGGGGCCGCTGGCCCGCCCGCCTCCCGGTGTGAGGCATTGTCCCTGGGCCTGGGTGCCAGGGTGGGTGGTGTCAGGGAGAAGCCTCCTGGGGACTCGGCTGGCAGGCAGGCGGGCGGCCTCGTGGATGGAGGTCTCCTCGTCTGCTTCCAGCCCTGCCCTGCTCGGCTCCTGTGGCTCAGCCCCGGGCACCCCCGGCAGGAGGCTCCTGCCCGCCATCCTCGTCCTCGCCGCCCCCCCGCCCCCCACAGCCCGATTCCCGGGTCTCCTTGGCCCAGACCTGGCCCAGGGCGGCTGTGGGGAGTGACCTCCCCGGGCGGGCTGCCTCCTGACCCGGAGCGGGTGTGTGAGCGAGGAGGAGCGGTGGGCTCAGCGAGCCCCCAGCACAGACGGGGTGGGTGTGCGACATCGGACCAGTGTCAGGAGGTTCTGGGAAAACGAGCCAGCAGCCGGGATGCCCCCTCAGACCGCAGCCCCCACACTGACCGCCCGCCCGCCCGCCCGCCCAGGTGAGCCTGAACAAGGCGGGCGAGTACTGGTGGAACGCCGTCCTGGAGGGCGAGGAGCCCATCGACATCGACCAGATCAACAAGGAGCGCTCCATGGCCACGGTGGGCGAGGAGGAGCACGCCGTGCTGGACCGGCTCACCTTCGACTACCACCAGAAGCTGCAGGGCAAGCCCCAGAGCCACGAGCTGGTGCGTGCCGCCCCGGCTCGGAGGCTGGCCGGGGCGGGGTGGACGGGGCAGGGTGGACGGGGCGGTGTGGACGGGGCGGTGCGGACGGGGCGGTGCGGACGGGGCGGGGTGCGGACGGGGCGGGGTGCGGACGGGGCGGTGCGGACGGGGCGGGGTGGACGGGGGCCGTGTGGACGGGGCCGTGCGGACGGGGCAGGGTGGACGGGGCGGTGCGGGGTGGACGGGGCGGGGCGGACGGGGCGGTGTGGACGGGGCGGTGCGGACGGGGCAGGGTGGACGGGGGCCGTGTGGACGGGGGCGGTGCGGACGGGGCAGGGTGGACGGGGGCGGGGTGCGGATGGGGCGGGGTGGACGGGGGCGGGGTGCGGATGGGGCGGGGTGGACGGGGGCGGGGTGCGGATGGGGCGGGGTGGACGGGGGCGGTGCGGACGGGGCGGTGTGGACTGGGCGGTGTGGGCGGGATGGGGTGCGGGGTGGACGGGGCGGGGTGGACGGGGCGGTGTGGACTGGGCGGTGCGGACGGGGCGGGGTGGACGGGGGCCGTGTGGACGGGGGCGGTGCGGACGGGGCAGGGTGGACGGGGGCGGGGTGCGGATGGGGCGGGGTGGACGGGGGCGGTGCGGGCGGGATGGGGTGCGGACGGGGCGGGGCGCGGACGGGGCGGTGCGGACGGGGCGGGGCGCGGACGGGGCGGTGTGGACTGGGCGGTGAGGGTGTGGGGGGGCAGAGCTGTCCCCTGCGTCCTGGCTCCGGCGGCTCCGGCTGGTCAGCTGGTCACCGTCCAGATGGCACGCAGCTCACACCTGGCCGTAGCTGCGGTGGCAGAGCCGTGATGCGCGAGCACAGACCAGCCCTGCAGGGTCCTGTGGGGGGCGGCCCCGCCCGGCTGAGGTCCTCCTGTTCAGTCAGGGCCAGAGCCGGGGTGAGGCCGGAGACGTGGCCATGGAGGTCACTGTGCCCGTGGAGCGTGGCCGGGAGGAGGTGTTGGTGCAGGTCCCTCGTGCCCTGGGGGGGCTGTCACCACGGACGCAGGAGGCCTGCGGGCCGACCCCACGGGCTCGCCATCCTCGGCGCATTCCCGCCCCTCATGGTCCGCGCGCCAGGCCACGCCCGCCCGGCATCGGGGGACCAGGTGACCAGCACCGCGTGACCCCGAGACGTGGAGACATGGTCACGTGGGAGGGCGGGTTCCTGGTGACGGCCGGCGGCCAGCGGTTTGAGTCTGCGTGGAGCTCGGCCTGCGGAGGCTCAAGGCGGGTCCAGGCGGGTCCGGAGGAGGAGCGTGTCTGCGGGCCGGGCTGGTGGAGGGTTAACTCCTGTCTGTTTTCTGTTGTAGAAAGTCCATGAGATGCTGAAGAAGGGGTGGGACGCTGAAGGCTCTCCCTTCCGCGGCCAGCGCTTCGACCCGGCCATGTTCAACATCTCCCCCGGGGCCGTGCAGTTTTAGGGACAGACCTCCCCTCGCGGCGCCGTCTGACGCCCTCCCTGCCCCTTCTTCCAGGGCCTGTGGCCTCTGCCCGGCCTGCTTCTCCAGCCGTTGGAGCCGGGCGGGCCGCCCGAGGGTGCTGGTGGAGCAGGCCCCCGGGACCCCTCGCTGTTGTCTGTAGCTCTGCTTGTGGTGCTGCGGGGGGCGGGGGGCGGGGGCGGGAGGAGGGGGTGGGTGGGCGACTCCGGACGTTGGGGACTCGGCCTCCCATGCTGGGCGAGACGTCCTCAGCCGGGCACCCGGCACCCGCCCTTGGTGATGTCTGGGCGTTGGAGAAAGTCCTGTGGCCGCCCGCACAGCGGGTCCTCTGACCTCTGACCGCTGCTCTGCCCCACCTCCCTGCACCTTCCTTTGTGGGGCCTGGTTCCTGTCGGAGCTGAGCGGCTGCCCGTCCCTCTCGGCAACCCGACCACAGCTCTGCTCCCACCGCCTCGGACCCGAGCCTGCGCCCGTCCCGCAGGCCACGTGCCCATCACCAGGACCGGGCCTCCCACTGGAGCCTGGGACGAGGAGCCTGGGCAGACAGCCCTTCCAGAGGCTTCCAGCTGTGTGCATGGCGGGAGCCGGTTCTCGCCGGCGTTCTGCTCCCGGCGGCCTCCCTGCGCCCCTGTGGTGCTGGCGCTGAGCCGGACCCTCGCGCCACCGGCCGGTCCTGCGCCTGCCGGGCCCCTCCTCGGCCCGGGCTCTGTTGTCCGTGTGACGCGTGCCCCTGGGTCTGCCCCGAGCGAGGTGGGTGGCCTGCGTCTCGGTGATGGGACGGACCACGGCTGGTGGCTGTCCTGGCCCGCGTCTGTTCTCCGCGCCGTGGCTGTCCGTGCGCCGCTGTCCGGGCCCGGAGGGAGCCGTCACTGCGGCCGGAGGCGGTGCCCTCCCCTCGGGCGCCTCTGCCCTGGCTGCCCTGCAGCCGCTGCTCCTGCCTGTTTTCTCTCTGCAGACGCGGCGGCGGCAGCAGACGGGCCGCGGAGCCCGGCGAGGCCCGAGGACAGGACCGCTGTGCACCACGTGGGTTTGCAATAAACGTGTTTGAGCATTCGGCCTCTGTGTGGCTTTGTTCTGTGTGCCCATCCCGGGTGCCAGCTGGGGGTCTGGCCCCGCCTCCTGCACGGCCGTGGGCGAGGTCAACAGCTTGAATGAATGGAGGTGCTCAGGGGCAGGAAGGAGGAGGAGGGTGGACTCCAGTGTTCGGGGTGGGCACAGTCAGTCCTGTGGGAGGTGTCCTGGCGACTGCAGCCCTGGGAGCCCTGACCCACGCCCACGTGACAGGCTTGTGGGCAGGTGGGCTGGGCCCGGTCTGAGCTGGCAGTGTCCCTGAGCGCCCACTGCTGCACTCCAGCACCACATGGACATGGGCCCCTTGGGAGGGAGCCAGCCAGCCCATCCTGCAGTCTCGCCCTGCCTGGGGCGGTTCAGCAGCTGATGCCTGCTGGGGGCGTGGGGGGACAGGGCCCTGGGGGAGACGGCCCCCCTGACTGTCTTCCTGGTGCCAAGGCTGAGGGAGGGCCCTGTGCCTTGTGGGACGGCGTCCTCGGGAAGCTGCTGGGTCAGGACCTTCCAGGGTTTGGGGAGGTCACTGGGGCCGCAGTGTCCCGGTTGTCCTGGGCTCCGGAGGACGCACCTGCAGGAGCCCACCCTCGGGGCTCCCAGAGGTTCTGGGCTGACAGGCTGAGAGGTGCCCGCAGCCCTGGGCCTCAGGGCCGTGGAGGGAGCAGAGGCAGGGCCGGGAGGGAGGCGAGAGGAACCACTGCTGCTGCTGCCCTGCTGGACCCCCGCCCATCCTGTGAACGCAGGGAAGTGGCCCCTTCTGTCCTTGAGGGTATAACGGGCCACCCCGCCCTCCATGTGTGGGATCCCCACACCCAGTGACACCCCGACCTCCATGTGCGGGGTCCCCTACACCCAGTGACACCCCGCCCTCCATGTCCAGGGGTCCCACACCCGGTGACAGCCTGCAGACCCCTCCCTGCAGGAGCCAGACCAAGCTCAGGGGATCAGCCTTGGCCCCTGACCCCCACCTGCATCCCTGCAGCAGCTCCCGCCCGCCCTCAGGAGCCCGCCCTGGGAGGGCCTCCGGGGCCTGCCCTCCCCCAGCCCTCAGACACTCGGAAGCTCACACTCGAAAATTGTTTATGCGGTGAAGCACCAGACAACCACTGGTTGTGAAGAAGGCCGGCCGTCTTCACAGCTGCAGCAGAGCTGCCACGCCTGTGAGGCACCTGCCGGGCGTCTGGGCCAGGTGCTCTCCCGGGTCGTCGTGTGCCTGCACCGGCCTTGGCCGCTCGGTCTGCAGCCCCCGAGTTCACGGGTGCGGCAGAGCCGGCCTGGGACAGACCGGCCGGCCTGGTGCACGGCCCCCCCGCACATGACAGGTTGTATTAGTCGGTGAGGCCGCCTAACAAAGTGCCTGGAGCACAAAGTGCCCTGAGCTTTGCTGACACGACAGATCTCGCCCGGAGGCTGGGATCCTGTGTCAGCAGGCTGGTTTTCCCCGAGGCCTCCCCATGCCTCCTCCTCGCAGACACTGCCTCCGCCTGTCCTCACACGACCTTCCCCTGAGCCTGAGGGCCCCAGTGCCCCCAGGTGTGTCCTAATAGCCCAGAGCATCCCGCCCACCTCCGAGGTGCTGGGATGGGCCTTCATTCACCACGGGGATTGGGAGGACACATTAATAAACCTGGTCCAGTGGATGCCGCGCGGCCCAGTGCGGGGGGCCTGATGTGGCGGGGTCTCCCTTTTCTGCTTCCCGCACAGAAAGGGATGAACGAACTGGTTCTGAGTGGAAGCGGCCAGGGATTGAGAATAGAAATAGAGAAGACACAGAGATAGATTTTAAGCTGGGAGCTGGTGGGCACCATCCTGTCTGCTGGAGAGGCAGGAGGAGGACGACAATGACCCCTCCCAGAACATTTATTTTATAGCCCAATTCCAGGAAGTAGCACCAGCTTATTTGCATTCTTAAGTCGGCCCTAGCATGCCTGGATTTACATATCTAGTCCCGCCCCTGCCGACACCTGGGCTGATTGGAAGACCAAGCTGACAACACGTCCGCCATCTTAGGGAAACATGTTCCCAAGGTGTGGCTCTGCCTGTGCCTTGAGTTCAGCTGACGATAATTAAGGAAAACTGCCCATGTGCCTTCCCAGGCGGCCCTCTCCAGCCGAGGCCTCGGGCACACAACACGCAGGCAGGCAGTGCTGAGCCCGCAGGCTGTCTTCCCGGGAGCCAGGCAGGGCCATCGTTTCTTGGGATCTCGGGGTTTGGACAAACCAAGTCCAACATGTCAGCCCGGACAGCACGCCGAGCCGAAAGCAGCTCGTCCACGTGAGGGAAACGGTACCTGGGCAGAGAGGGATGTCAGGACCACGGTTACTCACCAAAGTGCACCATTCACGGTTTTGTATAAGCCTAACAATTTCAAAATGTACAAAGAAAATTGGCAATAATAGTGGAAATCTTTAACTCACCTTTAATATGTTAAGAGTGCAAGTAGACTAAAAAAAACAAAAACATAAAAACACCAAAAAACTCAGTAAAGACCAGACGAGCATGACTAACAAACGACAGCCGACAGGGCACACGTTTTCTATGTATATGGGATGTCACAAAATTGTCTATGTGTGAGCTGTTTTAACACATTTTGAAAGGTTTAAAGTTATTTAAATTATATCCTAGGAGTAGAAGGTAACTTCCTTATTCTGTTAGAGTCTCTACAGATACCTTCCTGATGATGAAATATTGAAAACTTGCCATGATATCAGAGAGTTTAGCGAGTGCAAAAGGCAAGCAGGAAAAGGTCGGGAAGGGAGAGAGAAAACAGTAACTTACAGGGGAAGAGATCCATAAGCATTTCGGGCACCTTATAAAAAGGTTATCAAGGTTGCTGGCTGTAATGTCAGTATTTTATACCTTGTGTTTACATGTCAGCAACAATTCAGAATATCTTAAGATTTACAATAGGATGTTCAAACATAAAAACTAACCATAAATCTAACAAAAGACAGAAACCCGGTATGCAGGCGATCATGAACTTTGCTGAGATGAAGGACACGGAGATGAAGGCTGTGTGATAAATGTAACGGAGAGACGTGGAGGCTGCTGGCTGCGTTAATGGTTCATGGCTGGACAGCAGCTGCCGGCAGAGCGCAGGCCCTGGAGGAGGTGCACAGGGTGAGTGGCTTTTATAGGGGCGGCCAGGCAGGCACCACCTGCAGGAAATGAAGCTTATTGGAGGAAAGTGAGCTCACGTGCCAGGACGGCTTCCCATTGGCTGAGCTTCGGCTTCAGGGCGTGTTGCTGGGCAAGAAGAGAATCTTATCCCGCTGGGGTGGTGACGTGCACTGTGGAGTGGGGGTCACCCCTGTTGGGGACCTGCGGGGCTGTGACTGACAGCCGTGGCAGAGGGCTTCCTGTTGGCCCAGTGGACAGCAGTATTGGGAGCGTGAGGGCTCCCCCGACAGGCCGTTCCGACGCCAGTGCCAGTGGCGGTTCCTTAGGTTCACAGGTGGGTGCTGTGCTGTGGATTGTTAGACTCAGAATGGGAGTTATTTCAGTTCTCTGCATGCTGAGCTGGATCCTTAATGCACACCACTCCCCGAAGTAATACAGCAGAAGTGTGTGTGAGTGTGTGTGTGTGAGTGTGTGAGTGTGTGTGTGTGTGTGTGTGTGTGAGAGTGTGTGTGAGTGTGTGAGTGTGTGTGTGAGTGTGTGAGTGTGTGAGTGTGAGAGGGAGTGTGAGAGAATGTGTGTGTGTGTGAGTGTGTGTGTGTGTGTGTGAGTGTGTGTGAGTGTGTGAGTGTGTGTGTGAGAGTGTGTGTGAGTGTGTGAGTGTGAGAGGGAGTGTGAGAGAGTGAATGTGTGTGTGTGAGTGTGTGTGTGTGTGTGTGTGAGTGTGTGTGAGTGTGTGAGAGTGTGTGTGTGAGATTGTGTGAGTGTGTGTGTGTGAGAGTATGTGAGTGTGAGTGAATGTGTGTGTGTGTGAGAGAGTGTGTGTGTGTGTGTGTGTGTGTGTGTGTGTGAGAGAGAGTGAATGTGTGTGAGTGTGTGTGTGAGAGAGTGTGAGTGTGAGATTGTGTGAGAGAGTGTGTGTGTGGTCACAGCTGCCTCTCACACTCACTGGAGGTCTGCAGACAGGAGCCAAGTGCTGGAGGAGGACCAGCCGCTGGAAGTTGCACAAGCACCCAAGGCCTGTCCTTCACAAACCCGTTCACAGTGGACAGTGCCTCCCAGTCCTCTGCGCTCATCCGACTCCCTGGCAATGCGATGTGGGCAAGATCTGTCGTGACTGTCACATGTCACGGCGTGACTGTCACATGAGGACGTAGCCTGCTCCATGCCCTCCTCGAACCCCAGACCGGGGCCAGGTCGGCTGCTTTTCCCCGCGTCCTGGCACAGCCTCACCTGCCGATGGAATTGGCCGTGTGCGATCAGGCTCTCGCTGCCCAGACCGGCGCTCAGTCTCACCGCCTTCCGGGACGTGACGTTGCTGAAGCGTCAGGCCAGCTGCTCTGAGTGTCTCCCGTCCTGCGTTTGCTGACGGAACACAGAGGCAGTGCTGTGAGGCCCGAGGCCCGCCCCGGGCTCCCGCCGGCCAGGTCCGCACACTCCGTGTGGTGGGCCTGTACACCGGCATCGGCTGCCCCGCCCCCTGGACCGGGCGGGCGGCTGTGTCCGGGCTGCGCACCCTCTCCGCGGATTCTCGGCTTCATCTGTGCATGTCTTCACCTCAGCCTTGTTTCTGTTTTTTTAAAGGATTACTTTTTAAAATATATGTATTTTTATTGATTTCAGAGAAGGCAGAGGGAGAGGAGAGGAGAGGAGAGGAGAGGAGAGGAGAGGAGAGGAGAGGAGAGGAGAGGAGAGGAGAGGAGAGGAGAGGGAAGAAAGAAACATCCATGATGAGAGAAAAGCAGATTGGCTGCCTCTTGCACACCCAGGGGATTGAGTCTACAATCTGGGTGTGTGCCCTGAGCAGGAATCAAACTGTGACCTCCCAGTTCCTAGGTCGATGCTCAGCCCCTGAGCCACGCCGGCCAGGCACA